CTGTCTGTCTATCTATCCGTCTGTCTATCTGTCTATCTATCTATCTGTCTGTCTGTCTATCTATCTATCTGTCTCTCTGTCTATCTGTTTGTCTATCTATCTATCTATCCTCTTATTTCTCGAACAGAATACAAAGAGATTAGTTAAGGCGGAAAAGTGGATGTAAAGTTTGAATCTTATTAGCCTATTGTCGTGGTTTTTTTTTTTTTAAATCGTATTTAACACGTGTTTATTTTTCATTAATTTCTGCTGCTGTTTATGCGAGTTCACGGTTTGAGTGCTACGCTACATTACATCACAGCACGGGAAATTTCTAAAATTCTGCAAATATATGATGATCTGAAATCACAAATGATCTGAAATCACAATCTGTGACGGTCTTACTTTTTCATCTTCTTTGCATTGTATTTGACCTGATAGGCAGCCTGGATAACCTTATCTGGAGCACTGTCAAACTGGTGTGGGATGACTCTCTGAAAGTGCTTGATCACAGCAACAGACATATATGACAAGTTACATACGTGACAAGCTGTCAGATATGTATTCTTTGGAATACAAAAAGGTCTTTTTTAGAATCATACCTGTAACATTCCTTCCATGTCTAACTGGATCAGTTCTATCTGGTTCAGCTGAAGGATGGCCAGTCCCACACGGAAAACTATCTCCAGACCCTGAGGAAACAGGAAAAGGGAAGCACTGATGCTTTATACACATTAAAAATAATGCAAATGAATGAAACTATGAATTACTTACAGGCAACGGTGAAAGATGTGGTTGGCACCCTAGCCTCACAACAGGATTTTTTTTATTTGTATAGAGTAATGACCAAAATGAATTTCTGAACTGAAAACACGTTGCTTACATTTTTACGCTTTATAACAAAGCCTTTTATTATTTGTTTATATTTGATCATGTCTTAACACTTGTATATCTTTGAGGTCTGTGTGTATCCCATCCTGAGTGCCACTTGGAGCAACTAAGGGCTTCAAGCCTCAAAAAGGCTTGACCTGCACATCAAGTCCCACCTCCATGCAGATCAAATTCCCCTTAATTCCCCTATAGTTTGCATACGGACACGACTGCTCAACCTAGGACGCCATTTCCACGGCACACTCTCCCCCAAAACACCCTTGCCAGGCTCCTATACATTTACATATACATTTCCTCAACACGCAACACCATTGTTCTAGCTCAACTGGAGGAAAACCTGGGAGTCTGCTGGGAGTGGACTCGACCTGAAGCTGGAACCTCAACTTCCAAAGACACAGTCAGCAGAGTCAAGGTGGACCGTCTTAAAGACCATACATACTGAGCACAAGATCTCTTCGCGGCTGTTCTTGATTGTACACTGAATGCCAACTATATTAGTGAGTTTGCCGACAGTGGTGGGTCTGGTAAACAAAATGCTGAGAGTTTATACAGGACTGGAACGATAGTGTGTTAGCCGTAACTCCACCTTAACATGGAAAACACTAAAGAGATGGTGCTAATCTACGCTATATGACCAAAAGTATTGGCTCACCTGCCTTGACTTCATACTATGAACTGAAGTGCCATCCCATTCCTAACCCAGAGTTCAATATGATGTCGGTCCACCTTTTGCAGCTATTACAGCTTCAACTCTTCTGCGAAGACTGTCCACAAGGTTGAGGAGAGTGTTTATAGGAATTTTTTGACCATTCTTCCAAAAGCGCATTGGTGAGGTCACACACTGATGTCGGTCGAGAAGGCCTGGCTCTCAGTCTCCGCTCTGATTCATCCCAAAGGTGTTCTATTGGGTTCAGGTCAGGACTCTGTCATCCATGTCTTTATGGCCCGCTCCAAACTGTTGGGAGCATGGAATTGTCCAAAATGTTTTGGTATCCTGAAGCATTCAAAGTTCCTTTCACTGGAACTAAGGGGCCAAGCCCAGCTCCTGAAAAAAAGAAAATTCCATGCTCCCAACCTTGTGGGAACAGTTTGGAGCGGGCCCCTTCCTCTTCCAACATGACTGTGCACCAGTGCACAAAGCAAGGTCCATAAAGACATGGATGACAGAGTCTGGTGTGGATGAACTTGACTGGCCTGCACAGAGTCCTGACCTGAACCCCATAGAACACCTTTGGGATGAATTAGAGCGGAGACTGAGAGCCAGGCCTTCTCGACCTACATCAGTGTGTGACCTCACCAATGCGCTTTTGGAAGAAAAATAGTCAAAAATTCCTATAAACACTCTCCTCAACCTTGTGGACAGTCTTCCCAGAAGAGTTGAAGCTGTAATAGCTGCAGAAGGTGGACCGACATCATATTGAACTCTGGGTTAGGAATGGGATGGCACTTCAGTTCATAGTATGAGTCAAGGCAGGTGAGCGAATACTTTTGGTAATATAGTGTATTTATCTACTTCTACTAACCAACTAATCGACTAACACCACTGTTCGTGTTTCCCATATTTTTTTGACACTGTGCTGCTACTCCTGTTTGTATTTTATTGTATTTTACCTATTTGTGTGTTTTTAACTGTTGTTTTGGTGCTTTACTGCTGCTGGAGGAGGAAATTTTCAAAAGGGAACTTCCAAGGTATTTATAAAGTTTATCTATCTATCGATTGACTTCAGGAAGGTTTCTAGGAGTGCACATGGCAGATGACCTCTCCCTCCACATCAACACTACAGCTATCATTAAAAACGCTCCCCTATGTCTGTCAGGGCACTGTAAAAAAAAGTCTTGACATATGCCAGGGGTCGGCCCAACCCAAAATGTTCAAAGAGCCATATTGGACCAAAAAAACAAAAACAAGAAACAAATCCGTCTGGAGCCGCAACAAACTTAAAACCCTTATATAAGCCTGGTATGAAGGAAAGCTGTAAGTGTACATCTGCAGACTTACAGCTGTGACTTACACACTGTGCATAAAAAAAAAACTATTATGTGTTGCATTTATGACATCAATGAACTGCTGCAGAGAACACGGAATTGCATTTCTGCATGTAACAAAAACATTTTTGAACTTGAGAAAAAAGACACATGGTTGATGCTTACTTTCACAAAAATATTTGAGTCCTCCTCGTATTTAGGAAATAAAAATCAAACTTAAATTATCCACCCGCAGCGAACCAAAAATGCAAACCAAAAATGCCGTCTGCTTATATGTTCCATCATTTTATCGCGTGCACTGGAGCGTGCAGTCAGATATATATATATATATATATATATTTATATATCTATATATATATATATGTATACATATACATATATACATATATGAGTTGCTGTCACATAACATTACAGCAGTGGTAAATTTATGTCCAATGGCAATATTCCATTTGATTCCCTTCACGCCCCCCGCCCCCCCAGCACCTCATCGTGGCCCCCCAGGGGGGTCCGCCCCACTATTTGAGAACTTTCACCTCATCATTCCATAAAATCTTGAAAAATGTGTCTTCAGACTTTTGTTAGCCCACAATTAAAGGCTTGGTGGTTAAAGAAGCGGACATGGGTCTGTAAGGTTTCAGGTTCGAGTCCACTGCCTAGTTGCCACTGAGGTGCTCTGAGCATGGCACCGTCCCCACACACTGCTCTCTGGGCACTTAAGCTGCTGCCACCCCTCTCACCTTGGTGATGGGTAAAATGCAGAGTTCACGTTTCGTCGTGTGCAGTGGTGTGATTGTGCGTCACTTTCGTTTCCTTTCTAGGCACTGAACACCTGTGACTTCTACAGTCAAGGATTAAAAGAGGTTTATTGCAAATTTGTTTTTCGTCCCCTTGTCAACACTTTACTTTGCTGGCGTCTGGCTGGAGGCATGATAGGACCCTTTAAGATCTACCACTCCTTGCAACACTATTTCTATTTAAGTAAAACAATGCTATTCTTATTGTATGTTATTCCATTTATATGTGGCGTACAATCAGCAATAAGCAAAGCGCCCCTCTCTTCTGGCCTAAACAGTATGTCACGGAATGAGTGATTTGATTTAATCTCTAATCTAGGAAATTGTCCAATGCTTCTGTCAGGCAGACAGATTTAAAATGTACGGCATAAATATGACAAGAACGACACACAGGCACAGATAATCTTAAAGAAAGGAGAGGAGAATGGATTTTGCGTCGAACTAGAAACTCAGAAATGTTGGTAAATAAAATGCATTTGGTCTTCTTTATAACATTGTAATCGTATTGTGTGACGACCGTGAGAGAATATGTCGGCGCATATAATACCGAAAGAGATTCCTTTAAACTGACCTCAAGCATGAAGATGTCAAAGATTCTTGTGGCAATAGGTAAGGGGAAGAACGTGAGGAAGATAGTCAGGAACCAAGAGGATGCATACATGGAGGTGTGGAAGTTCTGACCCTGGAAATGGATGTGCAGTTCCGGCAGTTGCTCCTGAAGAAAACAAAAGATTAAAGAGCTGGGTGAAAAAAGTTGGGTTAAGTAAAAAATTAAAGATTATGAGAAAGGCAAAGAGCAATATTATATTACTTATATAAGATACAAATATAAAGCCAAGTCATGGCATCAATTCAGCATACGGATGCATTAATGTACCTCCGTTTTGGGACCGGAGTTCCAATGATAATCCGAAAAGTAATACTGCGAGGCAGCCTGCATTTTGTACAAAATACTGAAGTAGTGATAGAATATGCGTATATGTCTCGAACTGTAAAATACAGCACAATATATTAAGATGCATTTTTCCTTCATTGTTACATCTGGGGGGTTTTTTTTTCCCCCACTAGCGTAAGTTAAAGATTTTTGTTTTTAACGTAAAACAACACCCTTCAATCAACTAAGGAAACACGTCGTGTTTTTAAGGTTTTCTGTGATAAATGGAATATTTTATAAAACTCAATACAAAAAGTGTGATAATTCGCAAAGATCAGTTGAAATAAAATATGAATCGTGCCACAACGCATACGTCGTAGGGTGCGTTATCTGATGAAGTCAACGGCTATGCCGGTGAAATCGCACGACAGAAAAACGTTGGTTGCGACTTGATATGCATGAAACCAAGACGTCGCGTCCATGCACTAGAATAGCAGCCTGGAAATAATCGAAAGTTATCTTGCACTGACCGCCATTCTCCTTGCTGAGGACATTGTGAAACGTCTCAAATCACCTGTGCGCTAAGTGACGGACAATTTATTGTGCCTTTAAGACACACGAACAGGCAACAAAACATGTTACCTGCTGAGCAAGACACAACCACTATTTCAGTTGTGATAAAAGACCACAAACAACGTTTTTTACGGGGTTTCTGTTTTGTATTCCATTATTTCGTATTATTAAAATCATTCCGTCTTTTGCTGTGCTTTTAAACCAGCAGCTTTATTTTAACACACGTTATACCTTACAGAAATAGAAACATTTCAGTAGTAAAATCCTTTTTATGGGTCCGAATAGAAGTCAAACAAAAATAGGCATCTGCATCATCAATGTTTAGTAGAGCCACATTTTGCTTCAATAACAGGCTTTTGACAAGTCCTTGAAGTTTGGCAGGATGTATTTTAGCCTATTTCTCGTACAAAAACGCCTCCAGTACCAGTCAGTTTTTTTTTTGTTTTTTTTTGGCTTCCTTTCATAAACAGCCTGCTTCAAATCAATCCATACATTTCCAGTGATGTTAAGGTCTCGGGACTGGGATGGACACAGCACTCCATATTGACAGAAAAACACAGAATTGTTGACATTTTTGCAGATGTATTAAAAACGAAAAAAACAAAAACAAAAACGAAATATCACATGGTCATAAGCATTCAGACCCTTTTGATCTAATACAGCCATGAATCTTTTTTTGGGGAATGATGCAACAATGTTTTCACACCTAGATTTGGGGATCCTCTCGAGGTTCTGTCAGGTTAGATGGTGAATGTTGGTGGACAGCCATTTTCAGGTCTCTCCAGAGATGCTCAATTGGGTTTAAGTCTGGGCCATTCAAGAACAGTCACAGAGTTGTTGTGAAGCCGCTCCTTTGGTTATTTTACTGCAGCTGTGTGCTTAGGGGAAGTTGAACCTTCGGCCCAGAGGAACGTTTTGGTCCAGGATATCCCTGTACTTGGCAAAACGTTCGATTGCAACCAGTTGTCCTGTGCCTGCAGCTGAAAAACACCCCCCGCAGCATAATGCTGCCACCACCAGGCTTCACTGTTGGGACCGTATTGGACAGGCGATGAGCAGTGCCTGGTTCTCTCCACACATACCGCTTAGAATTAAGACCAAAATCTTGGTCTCATCAGACCAGAGAATCTTATTTCTCACCATCTTGGAGTCCTTCAGGTGCTGCTTTTTTTTTTTTTTTTAAGCAAACTCCATGCGGGCTTTCATGTGTCTTGCACCGAGGAGAGGCTTCCGTCGGGGCCCCCGACTTTTGGAGGGCTGCAGTGATGGTTGACTTTCGACAACTTTCTCCCATCCCCCGACTGCATCTCTGGAGCTCAACCACAGTGATCTTTGGGGCTCTTCTTTACCTCTCTCATCACGGCTCTTCTCCCCCTGACTGCTCAGTTTGGCTGGACGGCCAGCTCTAGGAAGGGTTCTGGTCATCCCAAACGTCTTCCAAGGATTAAGGATATACGGATTAACTTTGACCAGATCTGTGCCCTGCCACAATTCTGGATCTGAGCTCTTCAGGCAGCTCCACTGACCTCATGATTCTCATTTGCTCTGACAAAGCACGGTGATCAGTAAAGTCTTGTATAGACATATAGATATAGATATATGGCTTTTCAACTCAAGTCCAATCAGTATATTTAAACACAGCGAAGGGTCTGAATACTTATGACCATGTAATATTTCAGTTTTTCCTTCAAAAATAAATCTGCAAAAATGTCAACAATGTAGGGTTAGGGCCAGAATTAGGGTTAGGGTTAGGGTTAGGGTTAGGGTTACACGGCTGCAATATACTGTAACAAAGAGTGGAAAATTTAAGGGGGTCTGAATACTTTCCGTACCAACTGTATCCCTTATCATAATGTATTGTTGTGTAATGGGTATTATAGTAAACTGTAAGTGACCATCTCAATTTTGTCCACATCTGTATGATGCTGTTATTCAGGTATTTGCAGTTTCTCTGGTCTTTTTAGTTTGAGTTGAAAACATCAAATTACAAAGTTCCACAGGATTTGTAATTTTATGCAAAACTAATCTGCAAATGAATAATAAATTATAATGGAAAAATTACAATGATTTTATTTTATTTTTTTTTATTTTACTGTTCGGTGAAAAAGAGAGCATAAAATAAACTAAAAAAATATTAGCTTCACGTACGTTAACATTTACTAGCGCTAATTGTCTATTGTAAATCCACCAACAACACTGAATATTTGCAACATAAAACAAAAACAATTTCAATTTTCCCTACCTGAATCATAGACTCAAACTGGTACATGCAGAGTCCCAGTTCAGCCATGCTGGGTTTGAAGAGCTCTCGTAATCTGTAGTCCTGCATCAACTTCACGAACACACAGAATGCCTCCTCCTCTGGCATCTAGTAAATGAAACCTCGAGACAAACATCTTACTTGGCAAAGTGTGTAACACACGTGCATAAAAAGTGGATTATTACCTGCATTAGCAGCAGCCCTACGATGAATGCACTGCCCTGACAATAGCCGACCTCACGGTCCACCAAAGAATAGGCCTGAAGAATTATAGTTGTACATTCATTTCAAGTGTTACGAGCTCAAGTTACAGCTGCATCGAAAGACTGACCTTACTGAACTTTAAGTCTAAGATGTCTGTTCGTGTTGACAATATTTACTTTTCGGATCAATTAAGACCTTTTCCTGATATTTGCTGTTGTATTTTGATGTGTGTTAAGATGTTCTCAGCTGATTTTACTTGAGTTGAAGATGCTCTTGTTCCTCAGATACAAATTCAAGGGCTCACCTTCATGACATTAAACAGCACTTCTTGTCCCAAACTGTCCTTCTCCTTGAAAAACTCATGTTCCGGATAAGTGCGAGCGATGTCTCTTCGAATCAGCTTTTCGCAGGGCGACGTCATCTTCAGAAGTTCCGAATACTGATCTTTTATGGTCATGTTTTGGGCATTGCACAATAACTGCCATACTATCGCCCTGAAGTGGTGAGGAATCCCTTTTCTGACAAGATCCTAGAAAGAGAAAACACAGGATAAGGATTTTAAACATTTGAAGACGTTGTTAAGACTTTTATTAGGTCATTTTAAGCCAGTTTGAATGAATAATTTTTTTTTTCAGGACTTGAACATAAATATTTATATTTTCTGCTTCTTACACTGGGTGGGGGTTTCCTTTGATAATAAAAAACTCGATAATGCAGTGCCTTGGTTTCTCCAAATGATGTGTAGCCTAAAAATAGTTTTGGAGAAAAACAGCTGCATGTGAATGTGAAGTTTATTCCTGCTTGAACGATAAACAAGCCTCCACTGCAGCTCATTTTAATCTATTTTGATTTGATTGAACTCATACAGTGGTTTGTATAGATCAGGCATGGGAAAACTACGGCCCATCAACTCATACAGTGGTTTGTATAGACCAGGCATGTGCAAACTACGGCCCGCGGGCCATATACGCGTCCACGTTATATTATTAAATTAAATGTTATTATGACACCTCAATCATTTTACCTAGCTGTAATTCCCATCTTTCCCCAGCAGATGTCGCCAAA